CTTCGATATGGCTTCCACACATCCCCCCATGAATCTCTTCCATTACTCGTTGGGCCTGCGACGCCGTTAAGCACCTCAATAGAGGGGCACTGAATGCTCTTCGGTACAGTATTCCCGATAAGATTACGAACCTCGCCGCCTCCCTTACAATTAACGATGCTTCTTGCTTATCTTCAAGCAATGAACCTTGTGTTAAGTACAGGATGTAGGGTGTCATCCAAGATTCTTCCTCTTCTTCGATAACCAGAATCTCAGCGGAAGGACCATTGATGCTTGGTTGCGATAGGACTTCTTGGATGATCGAACGCGTGGCGCCTGGTCTCTTCATGCTTGCTAGTTTTGAGAGGAGGTCGACTCGTGAGTTTAGCTCCCTAGGGACATGGTTCTGTGGGAACTTGGTGAAGTCGGCTGATATAAGTTTTACTTTTTATAGATACCTAGCTAGTTGGGGATCCTTTGCCTGGAAAGTTCCTGCCACCTGCCCCGTCACAAGTTGTGAGTCGCTCAGAGCCGACAAACTTGTTGCTCTCATCTCCTTTGCCAAAGTCATCCCTACCAACAGTGCTTCATACTCCGCCTGGTTATTACTTGCCCGAAACTCAAACTGTAGTGACTGTTCTAAGAGTATACCTCCGGCACCCTCAAGGACGATCCCGGCCCCGCTACCGCCCAAGTTTTAGGCTCCGTCAATAGATAAGATCCATTCGCTTTCAGCAGGTGAGCTTAATTCTACTAAAAAGTCGGCCAATGCTTAAGCTTTGATGGTTCCCCTCGGCTCATATCTGATCACGAATTCTGATAACTCGATTGACCACTTCATCATTCTTCCAGCCAGGTCGGGCTTTTGCAGAACCTGCCTGATCGGGTACTATGTTCGGATTATTATTTCATAGCTCTGAAAATAGTGTCTGAGCTTTCTCGCCGTTACCAATATGGTGAATGCTAACTTCTCAATCTTCTGGTAGCGAACCTCTTCTCCTTGTAACACCCTGCTGACAAAATAAATAGGCATCTGAGAGTTACCTTTCTCTTGAACCAAAACCGCGCTAATGGCACTATCCGATGCCGATAAGTACACCAACAAGGGGGAATTAGTCTGCGGCTTGGTAAGGATCGACAGTAAGTTAAGGGACTTCTTGAGCTCGCCGAATGCCCTCTTACACTCGTTTGTCCATGAAAAGCGATCGTTCTTCCTTAAGCATTGGAAGAAAGGTAACGATTTATCTGCTACTTTTGAAAGAAAACGAGAGAGAGAAGCCATTCTCCCTGCTAACTGTTGGACCTCTTTTACCATTGGACCTCTTTTACCATCGTCGGGCTTCTCATATTGATTATCACGGAGCACTTGTCAGGGTTTTCTTCAATACCACGATGAGTCAATAAGAAACCGAGAAATTTTCCTGCTTGGACGCCGAACGAGCACTTTGCAGGGTTCAACTTGAGCTGGAATCGCACTAGAGTGTCAAATTATTCTTGCAGGTCGGCAAAATGCCTAGCAACACTAGCCGACTTTACTACCATGTCGTCCACGTATGCCTCCACATTCCTACCTAGCTGATTTGCCAAAATCTTGTCCATAAGCCTCTGGTACATCACCCCCGCGTTCTTCAACCCAAAAGGCATGACCTTGTAACAGTAGGTGGCCTGATCGGCTATGAAGGCTATTTTGTCCTCATCGACGGGATGCATCCTGATCTGGTTGTAACCCGAGTATGCATCCATGAAACTTAGCAACTCATATCCCGACGCATTGTCGACTAGGAAATCTATGTTGGGCAGCGGATACGAGTCTTTCGAACAAGCTTTATTTAGGTCAATGAAGTCTGTGCACATCCTCCAGTTTCCGTTGTTCTTTCGTACCATTACCACGTTTGCTAGCCACGTCGGGTATTGGATTTCTCGAATGTGGCCAGCTGCCATCAACTTCTTCGTCTCCTCAACTATAGCTCTCCTTTTGTCCTCTCCGAATTTTTGCCTTTTTTGAATCACAACCTTCGCCTTAGGATCAACCATGAGATGGTGACACAGGAAATCTGGATCAATGCCTGGCATGTCACTAACACTCCATGCAAAGGCTGATATATTGTTTTTCAACAGGGTCACCAACCCCTCCTCATCTTCTTTAGCCAAAGACACGCCGACCTTGACCGTTTTTCCTTCAGCCAAGCTAACTTCTTTCACGTCCTCCGCCAGGGCTGGTCGGGAATCAAAATGAATCACCCTCGAATCTAACTTAATAGACTGGACTCCCCGATCAACCTGTGTCACATATAGGTATCTTCTCGCCCTCAGGATGTCCTCATAGCACTTCCTTGCGACCTCTTGGTCTATAGAGATGACTCCGACCTTGCCACTGGGCAAGGGGTACTTCAGCTTCAAGTGGGGTGTCGAAACGACAGCACCCAACTTGTTCAATGTGGGTCGTCCGATTAGAATGTTGTAAGATGACTGGGCGTTTACCACTAGATATCGGACTGTGATGGTCTTCATATGGTCGCTTTTCCCAAAGGTGGTCTCTAAGTCAGCGTATCCCCTGGCCGTCACCTGATCACCTGCGAAGCCCACTAAAGTTCCTGCATATGGCATAAGGCAATCGGTCAGAATTTTTATCCCGACGAAAGCCTCCCAGAACATGATGTCTGCCGAGCTACCCTGATCTGCCAACACACATTTCATATTATAGCCCATGACTATTGCAGAAACGACTATGGGGTCTTCCTCGTGGGGAGACACCCCTTCATAGTCGGCATCCGAGAACGTTATGGCTGGCCAATATGGTCGCACCCATTCCGAGATAGATAACACCAATCGGGAATATCTTTTTCGTGCTACTGACATCGGACCTCCTCCAGCGAATCCTCCCGCTATGGTGTTAAAATCCCTATGGACAGCCTGTTGGTGAGTCTCCGAGCTTTTTTTCGGAAGGTCCCTGGGAGGAGATCTTCCTTTATGCCTACCCTCTTTTGTGTCTTCTACTTCATGTCTGTGTCGTCTGTCGGATGAGCCTTTGTCATGCTTTCTCGCCACGAACTTCTTCAAATGTCCCTCCTTGATAAGACGCTCAATTTGCCTTCTGAGAACGAAATAGTTCTCTGTAGTGTGACCATGAGTCCTATGAAACTCGCACCAGCTGATTTTGAAAGGACCCAACTGACGATCAGTTGCTGCTGGGAACTCAAAGAGTGATGTGCTGTTGACATCATGGAGTATTTGCCTCCTAGGGAGGTTGAGTGGGGTGAACTTTTCCTGCTCATTGTTTCGTGTCCACTCGCCCCTCATCCAACCACCATAGTCCACCTGCCTGTGATTTCCTTCCTTCACGTTGAAGCGATCACGTCGCTTACTCCAATCCGAGCATACCCGGAGGTGCTTATTGTCTTCCTTATTGCTGCCCCTTGCTTCTCGTCTTTCGGCCGCCCTCTTGTTGATTTGTCCTTCCTCCGTCTTAATGTGACTCAGGGCGAAAGCTCTCACCTACGACATCGTTTGGCAATTCTCTCTCTCCAGCGCGATGTCAAAAGCGCCAGATCTCAGACCCTTCTAGAATGCGATAACCGCCATCCTTTCATCCAAGGATGCTATCCTCAAAGCAACCTCATTGAACCTCTGCAAAAAATCCTTCAACGACTCCTCGCGTTGCTGTTTGAGATCAAATAAGTCTGATGTGATCGACGGTTTCTTTTTGTTGGCCACAAACTGCACCATAAAAAGCCGACTAAAGACGTCAAAATTGGTGATTGATCGGTCAGGAAGACCGCTAAACCAATCAAGGGCCTCCTTTTTGAGCGTGCCCATGAACAGCTTGCAGCGGATTTCCATACTCCCTCCACAGATCAGCATTTGAGCTCGGAAATCCGTCAAGTGTTGGCTAGGATCCTGAGTCCCGTCAAAAGGTTCCACTTGGGGGACCCGATGATCCCTCGGAATGGTCTCAGCCTCTATGGCTTCCGAGAAAGGTCTGAAATCCCTAGGGACTTCCATCATGACATCCTCCTCCACCGTTCTGGTATTGGCCGCTATCATAGCCTGCATCTCATCAGCTCGTCTTCTAATCTCCTCGTTTTCTCGTTGGATAGCCTCCTCCCTTTCCCTGGATCGTGCATTCTCCTCTCTCAAGCTGTTGATCAATGCCATCATCTCCTCCATGGTAGGGTGTTGTGAGTCGCTGTTTGATGTGCCGCCTCTCGCCATAGTAAAGTGTTGGTTCTTCTGTATTGCTTGGGGCGTAGGAAAAGTTTCACCGTAGCCCCATGGTAGGCGCCAAAATGTTCCGGCCAAAGGGTGGACTAGGATTTTTTCCTAGATCAAGCCTTCAAAGCCAGAGCATTCAAGAGTGTAATCTGCCTTCTTAACTCTAGGGCCTCCTGCTCATGGGCCTCCTAGGCCTTATGAGCGCGAGGATTTCCATAACGGTTTTTCTTGGGAATATTCGATTATCAAAAGATAAGGATTTTCATCCTTAACTCTCGATCAGCACAAGAGGTGCGACCCACTCGGACCCTGACCGACCACCCCCCTGACCGAGCTCACCCTGGCCGAACTCGCCCGGGCCAAGCTCGTCTAGGTGGTGGGAGGGATCTAGGTTCGACTGATCTTATCCGCTTGGGAGGTTAGATCATCCGCCGACCGAGACGACCCATATTCAAGGGCTATTGGATCAGAAACTATGAAAGGCGAATGGTCGGTATCCGACCGAGACGGCACACTTGCCTTCCAGTCCTAAGCCTAAAAGGCGCAAGGGCTTAGCTGTTCCTGAGGTAGACTCCGGGTCGGACTCTGACCGAGCTCTCTCAATAAGCAGGGGAGATCGGGACCCTACCGACCTTACGGTACAACAATAAAAAATAAATTCATAATACAAATATTGTTCCCCAAATTTATATAACTTTTCACCACAATTTAATTTTTTTTTATCAAGTCACATATCTTATAAGTTATAACCAATGACACTTTAGAAGAAGTAAATTGGGCATGTAATTAAACAAAATGATCTTACTTACCAAGACTATCACCGACTTTAAAGTTGACGCTACTAGCCCATGTGCTGTAATCAGCACCAAGTGTCCAACCTGAGCTGTCTCCGACAGTGTGGACAGCTGCCAGTGTCGGCATGGCCATGTTCATTCCTAGACATACACCCAAAACCAATGCAATAAAGGAAGCCATTTAATTGCTTATGTGAGGAAAACAAACTAGAGTTTGCAATATATGAGGATGCTCTTATAGAATGGGTTTGCTTTATATAATTGTTTGTGTGTGCAGTTGTTGGGGTTAACTTCAGTTGGTCTCCCATTGCATGAGGATTACTTGAGTTGCACTTCACACCCAATGACCCCAAAAGTGGGTCTGCTGTTCTTTCCAATTCTCGTGAATGATATATGAAGTAGTTGTTGGTTGAATTGAATCATATTATTTTGTTGCTATGCAATTCTATTGTCGTTGTCTTGTTGACAAAACCTGACCACAAAATTTCACTTATATAATAAGACGATTGAGTAACGATTATTATGATGGATTGAGATTGAAGAGTACTCAGCGCAAGATGATATAATTATAGCAACATCTTTGCTGTATACTCTATTTTTTTTTTAGCGTAAGAGGGGAAAGAAAAAATAAATAAATAAATAACAGAAGATAGAAAAAAAAAATTAAAGTGAAATAAAAATAAAAATATCAAAGAAATAGTTTATGAATATCATTATTGATATTTATATGCTATTTACGTGATTAATATTCTATTGATAATCTAATCATCTTATTATTTAATGGAGGTGCAAAATTCTGATTAATTTTCTTTGATTTTGATATATTCTTAGTTTATTAAATTAAAGGTAAATTTATTTTATTTTGACCTTTTAAATTTAAAATTAACTTTTTGGGTCCTTATAATCTTAAAAAAGTTTATTTTAGCCCTTAGTATAACATCATTAATAGAGTAGATTAAGTTACTTGTGTAACACTGGTAGTGATTAATTATTTAATTTTTCATTAATAATGATAATGAGAATAATAATTTTCAATTTTCAAATTGTAAGAATTAAAATAATTTAGAGAAAAAAGCAAATTCATTTTATATTTAATATATTAAGAACACATTTAACTCATTTTTGTCAACATCAATGGACCGGGTTCTCTTAATAATCGATCAAATATATCATGAACAAAACCATGGTTTGAAATTGAAAATGATTTTTTTGCTTAATGCCTACTCATTGTGGAGCACAAACTGATCATGAAATTTCTAGAACGTTAAACATCCAGCCCCTTTACCAAGAACCAGCTTGTTTTCAACGCCAAAAAAGGGACTTTTTTTAAGGAGAAAGAACTGGAATTTTTTTTCCAATGAAAAATAAACATCTATGTCTTGTTCACGTAGACTCGTCGCTTGATAGACTTTATTGAGCGCGATCGCCGATGAGTATGCCTCGATGTTTTTGGGCTCAACATAAAATCCGCACGTTGGATCGTTTTGGTAAGTGTTGAAAAAAAGATAAACATTAGAAGAGAAGTTGAATAATATGGATAAAAACTCTGCACGATTTTTGTAATGAAGTAGTAACTATAATAAGATAGAATACGAAGAGTAGTCAGGTGAAACACTATGTATATATTTTTATTCTATTTTGTCTTAACTATCAAGATTACGGCTAGTTCTCAATTCAATTAAATTAAATTCCATTATCTTTAAACAAAGATATAAGCATTCTTTTAACAAAACATTTCTGGATTAATTCTAAGTATTCTTTGACTTGTCTCTTTAAACATTTACCAAAATATTCTTTTAACAAGTCTCTCTAGGCTTAAAAATTAAATATTCTTTTATAGTCATATCTCTCTAAGTTCAAGATAAATATTCTTTTTTAAACAAGTCTCTTCAAGTTAAACCTTATAATAATGGTTATGAAGGTTACACAAGTGTTATGTTCATCTCACTTATATATTATACAACCAGTACAAAACAATGAGTGTTTTTCAATAAAAAATAGATTTACAAAGAGTATATTTATGTACAAAGTATATGTCTTTTGTGTAAATTCAATATATGTCTTCTTTATTGAGTTTTGAATCTTCTTATATAATAATAGCTTAGAGAAGATGATTGTTGCAATAACTCACAAGTTTGCTTCATCTATTTTTATTGTTTTTTCTTACGATGGCAGATGACCATTCAGCTCAATTAATGCTTAATGCAAGTATTAATTATATTTCACCAAATGGTATCTCGTAGGAGTGACCATAAAATCGAGACCTGATAAAAAATATTACTTTTGGGTGGTTTTAGACGGGTTTTATGGGTAAATCGGGTTACAATTTTGATTTTATACTGTTGATATTTTATGTTTTGTAACTCTGTTTTAATTGGCTAATAAGTATTGCTTTAGTGCAATGACGGTTACAATTTTTGAATTATTTCTCTTTATGATAAATTATGTAATTGTTACCTTTAAAAGGGCTCCTCCTATTTTAAATAAAATAACCACCTTTTCATATTCTCTTTTCTCGATTATTATCAGTGGTATCAAGAGCTAGGTTAAGAAAAAGGCCGTAGTCCAAGAGTGTAAAAAAAATATAAAAGAGAAGAGAAAAATTATCCCACCAATGACTTCTGAAAATTTTGTGCAGCCAGCCATTCCACGTTTTGATGGTCACTACGACCATTGGAGCATGCTGATGGAGAATCTCTTGAGATCCAAGGAGTTCTGGCAGGTTGTTGCAGATGGTGTGGCAACACCAGGGGATGGTGTAGCTCTTACAGATGCCCAACAAAAAGAGCTTGATGTGATGAAATTGAAAGACTTGAAAGCCAAGAATTATTTGTTTCAAGCCATTAATCGATCTATCCTTGAAACTATTCTTTGTAAAGATACTTCCAAGGATATTTGGGATTTAATGAGAAAAAAGATATCAAGGCTCCTCGAGAGTTAAACGTGCACAACTTCAAGCTTTGAGAAGAGACTTTGAAATCCTTCAAATGAAGGAAGGTGAGTCTGTAACTGACTATTGTTTAAGGACCATGGGTATTGCTAACAATATGCGATTTCATGGTGAAAAAATGAATGATATAGCCATTGTTGAAAAAATCCTATGCTCCTTAACACCAAAGTTTGATTATGTGGTGTGCTCAATTGAAGGGTCAAATGATATTGATGATCTCTCCCTAGATGAGCTTCAAAGTTCTTTGTTGGTCCATGAACAAAAGATGAACAGAAGTTCAACAATGGAGGAACAAGCATTGAAGGCTTTTACCAATACTCCTTCATACAACTCTAGAGGAAGGGGTAGGGGTAAAGGTAGAGGACGAGGGTGTGGAGGTCGTGGAAATAGAGATTTCAACAAGAACTCTAGAGGCAACAATGACCAATTTCAAGGCAATGATAGAGGGAGAGATCATGATAAATCAAAGGTAGAATGCTTTAGATGTCATAAATTTGGTCATTATGCTTCTGAATGTTATACTAGACTGCCTAATCTTAAAGAAAAGGGTGAAAGTTCAAATTTTATCGAGGAGAAAGAAGTAAAAACCTTGTTGATGGCAGTTGAAGATGCAAAAGATAACGAGGTAGAAATTTGGTATGTTGATACTGGTTGTAGTAATCACATGAGTGGAAGTAAGTCCTCTTTCTCATATTTAAATGAAAATTTTCATTCTACCATGAGCTTTGGTGATTGCTCTACTATGAAAGTGATGGGAAAAGGTGATATAAAAATAAAAACCAAGAATGGTTTTGTAGAAACAATTTCTAATGTGCTTTATGTCCCTAACTTGAAAAGCAACTTGTTAAGTGCTGGTCAATTACAAGAAAAAGGTTATGAAATTTTTATTAGCAAAGGTTCTTGTGAAATTATTGATCCTGTTCGAGGTGTTATTGCAGTTGTAAACATGAGTTCAAACAGGTTATTCCCGTTGAAAATTGAAAGCATTCAATCTGGTTTGTTGGCTAAAGCTACTGATTCTGCTTGGTTGTGGCATTATCGTTATGGCCATTTGAGCTTTAGTGGACTGAAGACCCTTGAACAAAAAGACATGGTGACAGGCCTTTCACAAATTATTGTTCCTTCTCATGTCTGTGAAGAATGTGTTGTTAGCAAACAACATCGTTCTCAATTCCCTAATGGAAAATCATGGAGAGCAAAGAGTGTTTTCGAATTGGTCCATTCTGATATTTGCGGTCCAATAAATCCTTCTTCTAATGGAGGTAAAAAATACTTAATTACTTTCACTGATGATTTTTCTAGAAAAACTTGGGTCTATTTTTTGCAGGAAAAATTTGAAGCTCTCTCTTCATTCAAAAGCTTCAAAGCTCGAGTGGAAACTGAATCGAGAAAGACTATTAAGTCTCTTCGAACAGACAGTGGTGGAGAGTATTGTTCAAATGAATTTTCTATTTTTTGTGAAAAACACGGAATTCGGAAGGAGTTAACAACAACATATACACCACAACAAAATGGTGTCTCAGAGAGGAAAAATAGAACCATTCTCAACATGATACGGAGTCTCTTGACTGAGAGTGGTGTTTCAAAAGATTTTTGGCCTGAAGCTGTTAACTGGAGCGTGCACATTCTAAATAGAAGTCCCACATTTGCTGTGAAGAATATGACACCAGAGGAGGCATGGAGCGGGAGAAAACCAACTGTGGACCATTTCAGGATTTTTGGGTGCATTGCTTATGCTCATATTCCTGACAAGAAAAGATCAAAGCTTGATGACAAAGGTGAAAAATGTATCTTTCTTGGTGTTAGTGATCAATCAAAAGCATATAAATTGTATAATCCTATCACTAAAAAGATCATTATTAGTCGTGATGTTGTTTTCAATGAAGAAAGATTTTGGGAAAATAACATAGATGAAACAAAGCAAATACTTGCAAACTTTGATGGAGATAATTAAGATGAAGAGTCACAACCAATGGAGCTAGAAGAACAACAAATTCTAACAGCCACGTCTGAAGAAGAGAGACCTCAACGTGCAAAGAGAAGGCCTACATGGATGTCTGATTTTGAGGTAACAAGTATTGAAGACCCCATTACTCATTTTGCTTTGTTTTCAGAAAGTGACCCTACAACCTTTGAAAGTGATGTTAAAGAAGAAAAATGGAGAACAACAATGGATGATGAAATTGATTCCATTGAAAGAAATGATACTTGGGAGCTGTGTGATCTTCCAGATGGGCACAATACCATAGGAGTGAAATGGGTTTTCAAGACAAAACTAAAAGAAAATGGTGAAGTGGATAAG